GGCACCTTTTAAATCTAAAAGAGCAAAATATTCGTATTTCACAGGTATGGTGGTAAGCAGGGTATAAAGGCTTGGGACAGTGGGATGGTGTCCTGTACTATTTCATTAATTGCCCATAGATCTTGAACAAAGCAATATTCATCTGAATGAAGTCCCCTTACTGGTAGAATAGGAGTATTATAGGGAGATTGGCAAGGCCTCATGAGTCCACATTTCAGAAATCTCTTTAAGACTGGTTGAACTCCTTTCAAGGCCTCTTTATTTAATGGAAACTGATTTTTCTTTGGGTGTGGTGCCCCTTCTTTAAAGACAAGGTATCTGGGGGCAGCAACTCTGGCTCTCCTTGGCTCCCCATCAGCCCAGACAGCCTTACTCACTTTTTCTTCACAGAATCTCCTCTGGTAATGGGTCAGGGTCAGTGTTGGTCGATCAAGTAGTTGCTGAAATCTGAAAGCGTTCCAGGAACCACTTTTAGGCATAAGAGCTCTTTCTCAGGTGAAAAGATTTTTTGAGCAATCAATTTACATAATAAGTCTCTATCCAGCAATGGACCTGGACAATCCAGTATGTACAGGAAATTATGTGTAAGTTTCTGTTTTCCTGTTTCTTATTCAAATGAGTGTAGTAGCAGCATTGTTGAACTTGTCCTGAAACACCTACGACTAGTATTGTTGATTTGCTTAAGGAGGCCAGTTTACAGTTCAAAACAGAATAAATTGCTCCAGGATCTACTAATTTTTTTTTTTAAATTCCCAGCTCTTAACTGTACCTGGGGCTCCTGTGGGGCTGTTGGGATTGGGGGTAACATGCCAAGGAGCCCTGGGCCCCTTCAGTCACTATGTTCCTTGTCTGAATTTTTATTTTTTTGGTTACCATGACCTCTGCTGGTGCTTCTCTTTACTTTATCTTAGGACAATCCTTTTTCCAGTGTCCTCCTTCTTTACAAAAAGCATGTTGATCATTTTCTAGCCAAGGAAGCTGTCTCTCTCTCTTTTTAGAAGTTCTCCCCTTTAATAGGGCTTTAATAGGGGGCCTCATAGAGCATCTTAATTGGTTTTGCTCTGTTGCTCTCTAGCATTGTAAACTTTAAAAGCAACTTCAGCTAATTGCCCTGGACTCGTGGCAATCACCCCTTTTACTCAGTTTCACTTTTTTCCTATTGTCAGGGGAGCTCTGGCTAGTAAATGTCATATGGATCATTTTCATATTTTCAGAGGCCTCACGATCCATAACCATATACTTTCTATATGCCCAGTCAATGCATTGTAAAAAGACAGAAGGGTTTTCACTGATTTCTTGCTGGACTTCTTGCACCTTATTTAAGCTCTTCTGTTTGGGGAAGCCTCTTCTAAGTCCTGCAAGGACACATTTGCTGTAGTGGTGTAGCATGAACACGCCCGCATTGGTGTTAGGGTCCCAGCTGGGTTCAGCCTGAAGAATGGCTATATGAGGAGCCGGGGTTTGATTAGGGTCTGCATCATATAGCTTTTGAGCTTCCTCTCTCATTTTGTTGGCTACTAGCTGCTGCTCGTCACTCGTCAATAATATACTTAGGAGTGCCAACTAAAAAACTGGCACTTGCCGTCTACCTCTGCTTGGATTCAAACATGAGCCACTGCAGCCGCTGACCTCCAACACTCCCTGAAAGCAGTTCGGGATGGAGGTCAGGAATGAGCTGCTCTGTGCTCCGGGAAAACTGGTGGAGCAGGACTTCAGGTAGTTAAATACTTTCGGGAGAGGATTTTATGAGCCCAAATTCTTGGGTATTCTCATATCTAGAAAAGTACTCAAATCATTGACGGTGATACCTGCTCCTCGTAACTAGCAGTTTGCCTCTGCCTAACTGTGTGTTTGACTGCACGTACCCCTTTCACTAAAATCATATATAATACTGAATTTTTCCCCTGCCTTTTCAGAACAGTTTCTTAGAGCTCTCTGAAATGCTGTCTCCCAGGCTATAGCCCTCATTTTGCCCCCAAATAAAACTTAACCCACAGCTCTCACATTGTGCAATTTAATTCCAGTCAACAGGAGTGACTAAATATCCACTGTCAAACAAGCTGACCATTTTCTGAGGATCATCACTATACGATGGATTATGGCTTTTCCAATTCATCAAATCTGAAGTGGTGAGTGGGCCATAATTCCAAAAGTATCCATCTGTTTGACCCTGGCCATTAGTGTCCATAGAAAGTTACTGTAATGGGAATTGCACTTCTTTGCTTCCCCTGCTTCTGAGGGTCCCTGGCTCAAAAGAGTACCCTGTTAGGTCCTTGAATTAGAGACCAGACTTGCCCCGTGTTCATAGTCTAGGGGTTCATTTTTTTATAGACAAGGGAAGGTAAATATTTTTGGGCACTGGGCCAGCTGGGGCTTCCAAGGCTTCAGCTGCTACTGCCGGAGCTGGCAGAGCTGGTGCTGGTGTTTGTGGTGGACTGAAATATGAATCTGTTAAATGGAATCTTAACACCTAAGGTTAAAAAAGCATCCTCTACCTTTTCATCTTCTATTTTCTTAAGTGGAACACTTTTAACCATTCTTCGCATCATCAACTTGTTCTTACGCTGTTTGCTTTCCTCATTACGGAGCTGTATAAATGCCTGCACGTAGGGGATTTTTCCCATCTTTCCATTCCAGTGGCAAAACAATTTTAATTGCAAGATAGTAAAGTAATAAGACTACCATACAGAGGCCATTTTTCATCACTATCAAGAGCCTTATGTTGTGCTAATAAAAATACCATTTTCCTCTTCATCATAGGGTTATAGCTATAAGTTGACCAGCTGGCTAGCAGTTTCCCCAAAGGACTATCAGATTGAATCAAGGAAGTGCTTTCCATGATTGAGTAACAGTGTACACCAATCTCAATAAACAGAAATACCGTTGACCAGCAAATGCAAGCCAAACAGAAACGAGAAACCAAAACTGAAACACAACTGTCTTTTAAATTCCGCTAAGCTTGTGACCAGGTCCAAGTGACCAAGCCTTTTAAGAGAAGGAGTGTCCCAAGACTGGGAATCTCCCCAAATGGGCAAGGTCAAGGAGGCCCAGGAGTGCATTTCTGGGAACATACCTAGGTCTGGTAGAAGGAATCACAACCGCTCAGATACTGTTCTTCCCCAATGGGGATTTTTTCCCCCCATCCAGCAGAAATTTTGGAGCAGTCCCAGTGGGTGGAGGGAGAGGGAAGGTCCCCAAGGCAAAGGGGGCCTTGACAGCTGCTGGGGCCTTCCTCTTTCCCTGACTTTTAGCCTCATCTTGGAGTTTGGGCCAACAGGACAGCAAGTCAGGGCCCCCCTTCCAGGAGGCAGAGCCTACAAGTGAGTTCCCCCCTGGAGATCTGGCCTCCTAAGTGACCCCCAAGCCTCCACACTCCCAAGGGAGGCTGGCATGGAGGACCACCTAGGAGCACCCCACCAAGCCAGAGAGATCTGTGGTTGGGTTGCCTGTAGGTCAGAATGACCCCTGACAAGCCACCAAAATTCATTGCTGAAATGTCAGCCTCTGTGCATCAGTGTGGAATAGAGTTTTGGAGACAGTTTTGGGTGAAGTAGAAAAGAAAGAGTTTTAATTGCTTTGTCAGATAATGAGTATCACAGTAGGCTAGCACCTTTAAAACTGTGTGTCCACCAGGGATGGGGTGTGGGGAAGTTTTATGAGAAGGACTTGGGGTGGGGTGTGGAGCTGTTGATAAAGATCAGAATGTGGGGGTCTTGCATTCTGCTTGTTCCAGAAGTCCTGGTCATGGAAATCTCCTGATGGCTTTGTGGGTCTCTGGTGCTCAGGTGGTTATTAGAACATTACTTTATTCCTAGAACAAAGGAGGTTGGGTGGGGGTGGGGGAGAGGAATGAGAGTGAATATAATGGGAAGATTATGGATTATAGCACAGAAGCAGTTGAGCAAGTTAAACAGTGATGGGGGTTTGTCAGGGAAAAAAAACAAGTTTCAAGAACTCCCAGTCAGAGTGAATGAGCTAACAGCTTTAGCATCAGAGAAGCCATTTTGGACCAGAGGCTAGTTTACTGCTTCAGTAGTAAAACTGCTTTTCAGAAAACTGATACTAATTAACACACACACCTATTGTTTATGTGCTTGCCTATGTTTCTCCCAAAACACACAGGGAGGATTTTGTTTCTAAAAACTTTTCAGTGTTGGAAAACAGAAAACAAAAAAGGGCTCCTTTATGTTTTTATTTTTAAATTTCCTTTCCCTTACATTGTGACTGAAGTTAGACTCTTTCCATATACTTATTCTTTTGTAGTTCTTACACTCTGAAACCTCTTTATCATTGTTGACCATTAAAAAATTGTGTTTTAAAATTTTTTTACCTTAATTTCTGTATTTTGGAAAAGTATTTCCCTAGTTTGTTATTTAATTTTGCTAATAATGACTTTTTGCTGTATACCATTTGTAAATTTTAATCCAAGGATATTGCTCTTACCCTTGGTAATTGCTGATTTCATACTTTAAAAGTTCATTTATGCTTAGAAATCCACAGATCACAAAAACTAATTATCCAGATTGTCATTTTATTATTAGAAGACTTTAGTTTTACATTTACCCTAAATTACTTTCCATAATTTTTGACTTTAGCTTCTTTGTTTCACTCTTGAATTTATTTTGGCGTATGATGTGAAATGAAGATCTAAATTATTGTCCTCATATGCAAGTACTTTGTTGCTTAGCTATTTTATATACAGTAATTTGTACATGCTAGTTTATCCTTCCTCCTGCCTTCTCCCTTTGGTAACCATGTTTGTTTTCTCTGTGAGTCCATTTCTGTTTTGTAAATAAATTCATTTGTATCATATTTGAGATTCCACATATAATTGATATCATATATTTGTCTTTGTCTGACTTACTTCATTCAGTATGATAATCTCTTAGATCCATCCCTTTTGCTGCAAATGGCATTATTTTATTCTTTTCTATGGCTGAGTAGTTTTCCCTTATGTATACATACATTTACATATTGCAATATAATTACCACTATAGCTTTAGGTAACACTTTTAGCGCATCATTAATTACCATTTCTTTTTTGCAGTAAGAACATTTAAGATCTACTCTCTTAGAAATTTTCAATACAGTACTGTAAATTATAATCATAGTGTGTACATTAAATCCCCAGAGCTTATTAATCTTTTAACTGAAAATTTGTACCTTTTGACTGATATGTCCTTGTTTCTCCCACCCTCTGGTCCCAGGCAACAAAAATACACTCTATTTCTACAAATTTGGCCTTTTTGGATTCCATATATAAGTGATGTCATACATTATTTGTCTTTCGCTGAGTTTTTTCACTTCGCATAATACTCTCAACCCCCAAGTTTCACTTATGTTGTCTAAATGACAGGATTTCCTTCTTTCCCATGCTGGGAAAAAAATACACACACACACACACACACACACACACACACACACACACACACACACACACACACACGTACTAGTATATACTAATAATAACTACACTACTTCTTTACTTTATTACGTCGTTGTTAGAACTAAGTACTACTCGTCGTACGTAACCTACTAC